ATTGCTAGTCATAGGAGTTTTCACAGTGAAAGGAGCCAACAAGCACCACAGAACACAGCCTGTTTTTTATGTACAACTACAATTAACAAATTCATTTAAGTTTTGTTTTGAGGAGAAGGTAGTAAAATTCCTAAATACACCTTAAGCATCTACACTACAGGAGATAACAGTGCAAAGGTACTCTGCACTAGACACAAATCTTCAAGGTTTGAATGGTGCACAAGACACGACTCAGGTATGTGTGTCAGCTCCATTGTACAAGCTCTCAACAGTCCTCATTTCTGAGGTAACAACACTGGTGTTGGGACAGAGCTAGTGTCCCTGTTTTATTGGTTGGAAACCAAAACACAGAAAGGCTGAGTTGTGTCTAGGTTTGTGAAGGAGACCAAGAATAATATTGAGATGTGAATCTGGATATATGGAGGCCAGCTACAGTGGAGTTCTTAGAGGAGATGCTGTAAAAATGAAGAGTAAATTCAAGAGAGAAAGTGGGTAGATGAAGAGAGGAATGGAAGACTGGTTGAGGCACTGAAAAAAACATGATGCAGAAAATGAACACAAGTTTATGAGCAAGAGTAACAGTAGTAATAGTGGAAAAATATCAGGAAAGGAGCTCAGTTTTATAATTTTTATAAAATATCAGGAGTTTTCAAAAGCTTTTTAAAAGCCAATGGTCCAATGAACTAAAAATAGAAACAAACAGGAAAAGCTGAAAAAATGTGCAATATCTGGAGAAAAGAAGTTATAAAGACCAAAGGAAAAATCATTCACATAAAAATATACTGCTGAAAAGTGCAGTTTAGAGGCAAGTACTTGTGAAGGTGTGCCAACTTCTGTAAGTACAATTGGCTTCAAAGGGAGGAGATACTACAAAAAAGTTGAAATATTCCATTTTGACATTTTCCTAGCAAGATATTTCAGTGAGCTACAGTTCATTTTACAGCTGAGTTTCTTTTCATTTAAAATAGCATAAAAGCAATCCGGAAGGGAGGTAGGATCTTTCAGTAAGTTAAGAATTAAACATTGCATTATACCTGAAAGAGACTCTTCTAATTTATAAAGAAATAAAAAAAATGTTTCGTGATGCCCTGGAAGAAATATTCTCCCCAGTTTTTCAGTTCTCTCACTGAAGTGAAAAATCAATTATCTGTGCAGCCCTAGTTGTGTAATGAGGCATGTTGAAGAAAAACTAGAGACCCATGTGCTTCTGTACTAAAATGTTAGAATTTTAGATAACTCTGGGTATCTTAGAGACATCTGAGGAACCATGTGGAGGAAGAGTGGAAAGAAAGGGGGTCACTATGAAGGACTATGTCATCTGATTATAGCTCTCTCTTTTATCAGAAAGAATATTGTTGCCTTACTGATATTGCAAGTCTGGGTTTTCAGTTTGGCGTGGAAGTGTACAAGTCTTTCTTCATCTCTCAAAAGTCTTTCTCCAACTTACTCCATGCTTCTATGGTAAGTCAATCTCTTTAGAAAGGTGACAGAAATCTAGAGAGGGAGTGATCTATCAGCTCACGTCAGAATCTTTATCCTGTACTGGGAAATGGTTGATCACACTAGAAGCATATTGATCATACACTGTTGATCACATGTAGCACACTAGTAAATCGTTGGTCGCACTAGAGGCAAGATACACTCTTGTGTACCATTTCCATTTTAAATTTATTAAACTAAGCATGTGTTACAGGGTTAGTTGAAAAAAATGCCCTAAATTTCTCTACCACTTGCGCCAGTATCAAAACACAAATGTCGCTTGTGCAAATTCAGTCCTTCAGAAGGGAAGAGAGAAATACTTTACTGTGCCAGTAGTTGATTTTCCACATGCATGATCACTTTGCTTTAGACTGGCCACACACTGTTACAGAGACATAAATTACTGCCTAAGAATGGCATGACTGTTTTGTACCCCAACTTCCAACTGAAAATTCTGCTGAAAAATTGTGGAATACCAGAGATGTTTATTCCACATGAGGGCACATAAGGGTAACCAAGGCCACTGTGCCACTAATATCTCCAAGTGATATTCTAACATCTTCACTTAGCTCTTATCATTATGACAGAAATTCTAGAAACACAAAGATACTTAGTGGGATTGAGTGAATGAAAGTGTAGAGAACTAGAAAAAAAATTTGGAAAAGTTATGCACGTGTATTTTAGATCACCATGTCTTTGAATTATTTTTACAAACCTGGTTGCATTATTGGTTTCACTCCAAACACCACAGAAAAACTCATAGAGGTCACTGTCAGTGGTTTGTTGGTCTATGTTCAGGAAGACAGTACTTGTCCCTGCTGCTGCCACCTGCTCCAATCAACACAACTTTCCAAATGCAAGTGCTTCAGCTAATGTCTTTTATACCCTCCCAGTCCTTCTGACAAGGTATTAACTTCCATTATGTGATAACTTCTGGCTGAAGTTGTTGCAAAATGAACCTTGACAGCATTATAAACCATTTCTGTGAGAAAAACAGTGGATTTTTTAAGATGGTTGTAGTATTATGATGCTGTAATAACCTAGTCCACGTGGGCTTTGGACCATTTCTTATGCTTCCAAGATGAACTGGAAGCTTTGCACTAGCGGAATCAGATGAAGTGTACATACTGGTTTGTTTTTTTTTTTTTTTTTTTTTTTTTTTGTGTGTGTGTGTGTGTTTTTTTGTGTTTTTTTTTTTTCCTTTTTCTTTTCCCAGCTATCAATATGAATTTATATACTTGAATTTGAATGAATTTAGGTAGGATGAACATTGATTCTTTTAATTTTTGATGTTTCTCCCTCCCGCCCTTCACTTACTTATTTTTGATCAATACCTGTAAGCAGGTATTCGAGTTGGGCAAGCCCTGCTTTATAAAATGGCCTGGAATTCCTAAAATCCCATATTACAAATTTGTCAACTTTGAGTTTGTGCAAAACTTCTATCACAAAGCCTTTAAAAGAGATTCTGTATCACAAAAAAAAAAAAGCAGTAATGTAAAACTATTTTTATTGAAAATACATATACAAAGTAATGTTTCTCAATCCATTCTGGGTGCATACCAATGCAGAACCAGTGAGGGCTGGGGAAAGGAATCTTTCTATAATACCTGATTTCCATAACAAAACAAAGTTAGTATAACAAAAGATCACATTCTTTGTGACACAATTCATTTTTCTCAGCTGATGTCATAGAAAGACAGCCATTAACATTGTCTTTGCAATGTATTTCCAAACAAAATCTTAACAAAAATTTAAATTGTTATGTCATAGATTCTACAGTTAATGTTTATACATACATTCTGAATACAGTACCTATATAAAAATATCTCTAATAACATCATAAAATACCTTTCTGTATCCTAGATTTGCATTCTGTTAGCAAAAAAAGAACCCCCATATTTATTTTCTTTTGTCAGATTCATGGAAGAGATTTGTTGGTTTGACTGCTCAATGCTCTGTATTAAACCCTGCTCACTTCATTCACTGGAGAGATCCTGCTCATGTTGGGTGGGTTACTCAGCTGGAGAAGATGAGCAAGAGTTTTCAGTCCTTAAAAAGCAGTCTTGCCTGGGAAAATATTTGCCTCCAACCAGCATGCTGACATTTTCACCACACTTATGTGTACACTGCACTTATGTTCTTTTAGTGACAGAGGCAATATGTTGAATATGTGTTTGGCAGCTGGGACATTGCAAGGGAATCCTTCATTTCTCTCATCAGAATTATTTTGGTAGGGGGTAGGAGACAGAAGACAACAACATTTTAATAAAAAAGATCACTTAACACTATTGTGCCTGTAGATTAATATTTTTTCAATCCCCCATCTGTAATGTATTATAAAGCTTTCCAGTTTAAACTCTATAATAATGCAAGGCAAAAAGGAAAAAAAATACATAATTTATATTTCTAGAAAAGGGCTTCGTCAGGGAATAATCTTGAAACGAACAAAAAAAGACATAGGATTACAAGTGCAATGTCTCCCTTTTTTCATTCTTTCCTTACCTATTCCCTGAAAGAAACCTACAATATTGCGCTTTAAAATCCTCTCTAATTAAACTTGCAGCATTTATTATAGTATTTACTATTTTGCATTTTTTATCTTTTTCCTAGTAAAAAGTAAAAAGCACCATTAGTTTTACTTTCTAAAGTGTTATTTTTTTCTTTTGAGATGCTACTGATAAACACACAAGGATTAAAAATAGTCACATTGAGACAGGAAGCCTTCTTCTCCAGATGGAAAAATGTAAATCCAGCTAGTAGCTCTATAACTTATGAGTGGGATGACCAAACATATGGGAAGTTTCCAGTCAGATAACCTTCTGTTGGTCTCAGGGATTCAGATTTAGAATCCAGTCCTTTTAGGACCTAAGCATCTCTTCTGCACCTTCTGAAGAAGACTGTTAACTGCTTTCTATTCTTCTTATTACCTATTAAGTAGATAACTGGCGTACCCAGAGCATGCTGTATATTTGTTTCCAAGGAGAGATGAAGACATTTTCTGTCACAGGATCAATACAGCCTAGGGCCTTGCCCCTACAAAGATTGTTCAACTGAGTAGTGATATTGAAATTAATGGGGCAAATCAAGGTTGGAGGACATATATATGTAAATGTTTGCAAGTCAGTGGGAGCTGACTAGATTAAGTTTTCGTTATGATCAGCTGAGGCTAATGTGTAAAACTGTGCCTAGATAAAATAACTTTCTCAGAAATATTTCAACTCAGCTGATAAAAGTGCTGATTTGGGTTTTTTTCTTTATTTATCTATCTTCCTGTTTTTATTCTTTCAATTAATGGCCTTCTTTTTATTGTCAGACAAAAAAGCAAAAAATATGTTAATTTACTTAGCTGGATGCAGTTATAAAGTTAGAGAAGTATTGATTGTGTGTTTATAGATGTTAGGAATTTTGCAATGGGTATTTATAAAAATAAAACTATTTCCTGGCTCTGTTATCTGTTTTCACTTTCCATTTCATAAAAAAAAAAAAAAATAAAATTCACAGGGCTGGGTAAAATACACACTGATTTTTGTTTTTATTTAATTGACAATCCCTCTTTTTTATCCTTGGCTTGTCGAGCAGGACCATTGTTGTTGCCTCTTAATTTTTTTTTAAGTGAGAAGCCAACATATACCATGATCACTGCTAGTTTAGAATATATTTTCATTAATTCTTTCCAGTGCTGGCAGAAAGGGAGAAATCAAGCACTAAATGAACTTGGGCAATTCAAAATACAAATGGCTGGGAAAAGTGTTTGTTTTCCACACTTGTAACATTGGACTCAGGCTTTCTTTACCCTACATCTTGGTTTCACTATCTAAAGGTTTCTCGCTCTCATTTTCTTGTGAGATCAGTTGGTATGGTTTCTTCATTTCATTCTCCTCTATCACAGAGTTACCCATTTCTGCATCCTTGTTCTTCAGCTCATGCCGTGACAAATGTTCAACAATTCCCGCTCCAATGGAGTCTCCCAAGACATTGGTAGTGGTACGGAGACGATCCCTAAGGAGAAATAATAGGTTAGCTTTGATTTCACCACTTATTCAGGGAAGCATGCAGGCTAGCTGTTAAAATGGCCTTAAAAATATACTAGACGATTCAGCTATTTGATAAGTATTCATTTACCTGAACCGTTAATGCCGTGATTCCTTCTACAGAAATTAACAACTATACTAGGATTTAGAGTAGCAAAATACATTAGTAATCTTGGCAAGTTCACAGCAAGAAATAACTGTGTGATGAGAATGACAAAGGGAGCATATGGCAGATGCTTCTCAGAGGTATTTCTATACTCTGGTGGTTAAGGTTTCTATCCTCTGAACATGTAAGCTATTGAGGATCTACCTTGTTGGGGTAATGTCTCTCCTGACCAAAAAGTATGGTAATTCAGGTAATTCAGGGTGGAATTGTGCTGAAATAATTCTAATTAAACTACAATAGTACAGCCTTAGATGGCTCTGCCCAGAAAACGTAGGAGGCAGCTTGATGAAGACTGACTGGCACTATTACTCAGTAAGTGTCCACTTATTTAAGGTTATGGGCATGTGGTTAGGTAATCATTTGAAGACATGATGTTCTTATAACAACATGGGCAACTTCTTGGAGGGACCTCTTGAGAAGACTGTAGAGTAAAAGCCTCTAGGAATTCTAACTAATAGGCATTAAATGAAATAAAGGTTGGAGGAAACCTGCCTTTGATTTAATTTCTGGACCTAAAGGGATTTCCCCATATACCTACAGGTGTCAGTATTCTACAGATGAAGGAATGGAAGACCTGAGGGGCAACACATTGTGGTGACTGGATAAAAGAGTTAGACAATTGTTTTTCATTTCTGTGTTCATGGGGTAGAAGTATGAACCTTTCCACAATTAGACAGTCAGCATGGCTGCAATGTTGTGTATTGGATCTGAACCAGCTCTGAGCCTTATTAATGGAAAGGTTTTCGTTGCCATCCTACAAAAAATAAAAGACTAAAGGCAAATCTTTGCTAATTTTATTAGTGTGTCTGAAAGCTCTTAGTACCCTAAGGATCCAGGTTTCTAAGTAACCTTTTGGCATGCAAGAGGAACTATCACTAAGTAGCACCGCTCAGCATCTGCTCTAAGAAAACCCCTTAACTGCAAGAAATTGATTCTTTTTAACACTTCTTTCCAACTGCCTTCCATAGCAAAAGAAGTACACCACTGACTGCAGTATTGCTAGAGTGTCCCTGGGTATTGGACATCTAAAATTGGTCTATGCTCTTAGTGACCCCACAAAAATACTTACAGGAACCAGTCCACTGCAATGATAAGAGTGATATCATCTGTAGGCAAACCTACTGATGTAAGCACAATGACCATGGTGACCAGTCCAGCTTGAGGAATGCCTGCAGCCCCAATACTGGCAGCAGTAGCTGTGATGCTGTGCAAAGAGATGGCAAAAGCAATTAATTGACTTCCATAATAAACTCTCTCTATCATCTGACAAACATTAAAAAGAGATATAAAGCAAGAAGGCATTTGCTATGCAGTAAGTAAAAAGATGAGCCCAGTCCCTTATCAGAATACTGCATAGCTGCAGGGGAGTGTGGATCTTAATCCAAAATGTTTACACTAAACCTTTATCTAGAACCTTCAAAACATGATTTTGTTAAGTGGTAGATCACCTATTAGATGCTGAGAGCCAAACAACATTATAGCTACATGCCCTCACTGACTGAACAAACTCCACAAGCTCGAACATGTTAGAAGAAAAGCCAGGAGGTAATTTTGTCCTGGCAGATCTAATGCAAGAACTTTTATTCTTTGTCCACCTCACTATACCTTCAGGCCAGGTGAAGTATCTGTCCCCCAGCAGTTGGCGTTCTGCCATCAGAAAACAGAAAGCTGCCAGAAACCCTGAATCATACGGTCTAGTAACTTGGTAGAAATGTACTTCTTCACACCTGGTTTACGAAGAATTTGTTTTGCCAGGTGATTTGGCAGGGAGCAGCTCTAGTACTAATAAACGTGGAACTAGTGCCTCAAAGTATGAAGACAGAGCCTTCTGTTGATGAATATGGAATGAAACAGATGGCTTTTGTGGAAAGAAGCGTTTCTGCTTGAAAATATTCTACATTCCCAGTTCACTACATCTGAACTTTCAGTATTCCTGAGTGATAAATGACTGTGCCTCTGTTCTACAGTGTCCCTCTATCCCCTTGCTGGCATTTATTTCTTCTGCACATGTACCCATCACTCTTTTCTCTTAAATTGAGTAACATAATGAAATTAATTAATGCAGATCAGTTATCATGTAGCTCTGCTTAGTATGTTGTTTGCCGTTCTATTTCAAACATGAAGGCTTATATGCTTGAAAACATGCTTATCTTCTCCACTTCTATCAGCTGGTGTAATAAAAGTTATTACTGCTCCCTACAGAGCTTGTTCTACTTGTATCCTGAGACCATCAAGGGTAGGAAAACTCCACCTCTCCTACTCTTAGCACTGTGATGTTTTTATGCTATTGCTTTGTATGTACTTTATCAACTACCTGGTACAGATTCTAAGCCTATAGCTTCCAACAGCTGTATGAGTTCTTAAGAAAGAAAAATGTAAAAGTCTTCAAAACCTATTCTTATTGACTCTACTTAGTGCAGTGAGAGGTGCATCAAGTTACAGTTTTTTAAAGGTTTACCCAATGGAGAATACGTCCTAGGAGGCCTCTTCTGTGCAGAAGACAATCATTACAGTTATTCAACTGCTGTAGTAGTTGTTGTTTTTAGGCTCTAGATGCTTTTTTATTTTTAATCCCACACAAAACAGCAAGAAGGGACTAATCACAAAGGTGCTTTTTTTAGATGTAGGTAATGGCTTCTGTACCTGATTGTGATAATCTGCCCAAAGTTCAGCTCAAAGTTGTTAACCTGTGCAATGAAAATTGCAGCCAAAGCCTCATATAAAGCAGTTCCATCCATATTAATTGTAGCACCAACTGGGAGCACAAATCGTGTAACTCGTTTGTCCACACCATTTATTTCTTCCAGACACTTAAATGTAACAGGTAGTGTTGCAGAACTGAAATAAAAAGAAAGTAATAAATGATAAATAATAAATAAAAAGCACCACACAGCCACTCACTTACTCGCCCCCACAACCTAGTGATACAGGCAAAGAGGAAAGGAACAATAAAAACAATGAAATGCAGCTGTTGGCATTAAAAAAAAAAAAAAGTTTAGTAAGTGAAAGATAAGTGGAAGAGGAGAGAAAAAAGAAGTGATGCAAAGGCCATCACTCATCCTGTCCCACAGGCAGACCAATGCCCAGCTATTTCCTGAATAAAACATGGATAGCTTTCTTAAAATCCCCTCTTTTCCCATTTTATTGCTAAGCACAATGTATATGACATAGAATATCTCTTTGGTTAGTTGAGGTCATCTTCCTGGTTGTGTGCCCCCTAGCCTACTGCACTGAGGGGGAGGAGTAGGAAAGGTAGAAGGCCTAGACACTGTACAAATACTGTACAAAATCGTTCTGCAACAGCTAGAACATAAGTGTGTGATCCGTGTCTTTTTGGTCATAAGTCTGAAACATGGCAACGTGTGAGCTGCTATGAAGAAAGCTGACTCTGCCTCAGCCAGGCCCTGTATACTACTTACTCTTGTACCCCTGCTGCTACATCCAAATATGAAAGAACTAATAATGCATTTAAAGACAAGCCCAACTGAACATTTTGACTTCATATGCTACAGGAGTGCCCACTCAGCCCACATAAAGCCATGTTCCTTTTCAGAGACACTGCCTCAGAAGGAATAAAAAAGTGGCCATTTTATAAAAGCAGTACAGGCTTTTTGTTCTTAAAGACCTTAAAGTATCTCTACATCTGGTCACAATAAGGAGTTTTTTCAAGACTCAGCAATTCAGATTACTCTATCTTAGTGACCTTTTCCTTGCTACCTACTTAACAGACTTTCATGTCTTTGAACACTTTATCAATATTGATAAAACACTGATAAAATGTCAAGTAAAGAAGGGATGTGAAAGATTGTGCTAGAAAAATATCTTTGATGACAGTCAACATACAGTGGAATTTTAAACAGCTTTTGATTCCACTGACAGTGTAGTATGCTCCTTTGCATTAGTCTAGGTTCTTACTGAGAATTCTGAGCAGTGCTAAGTGGAATGTCTTACAGAAGCTGGAATGTATCCTCTTAACACTGTTACTGTTAACCACCAAAGACGTAGTTTTGCTTTATTTTCTCTTAAACTATGTTGGCTGGAATCAGTTTAATTATCTTCTTTCAAAAATCATTACTAATCAAATTCCTTGTTAGGCATTCCACAGATTTGCAAGGATTGACATCAAAATGTCAAATGTGAAATAAATAATTGTCCCTCTCTTCCTATTAATATACTGCCATAATTTTTTAAAGTCTTCAAGAGCTTTTTCCTTTATACAAAACTTCATCAGATTCTACATTCATTGTCACAATAGCTTCTCATCCAGATCTTCAAAATCATCTCAGACACCAGGGATTTGAATTTAGTAATACAGAATGTCTGATTTAAGATTATCTGTCTTTATGAGACACCTTTAAAATCTATTAAAATGAAAGGCGTTTTAAGAAAGGTCATATGGTCATGGTATAGAAATGTATATTTGATGACAGTAATGTTTCCTTTCATCACACATGCAAACAGTTTTTTTATTCACGTGATGTACCTATTATTTCATCAACAAAGAGCAAAAGTGGCATTTCTGTTGCAGGTTGCATACCCATCACTGGCTACCCAGACTTAGAGCTCACAATGTCATCTGCCCATGGCTCTCAAGCTTTCTCAGAATCCTCTCTGAACTTTCCTGCTTGCTGCACCATTTTGCCACCTATATCTGTTGCCAGCTGCACCCCTTACCAGCAAGCCATAAAAACTACTTAAAAATCTCAAACACAAAAACTATTTGAAGTCTCAAGCATTCTGGATGTACAGTCTGCATCACTAAGCACAGTAATTTAATCTCTATTTAGGGATTCTTATGGAAAATAGAGTTCAAGTTAATACAATAATAAACATCATCATCATCATCATCATCAACAAAATTTCTATCGGAGAGCAGTGGAACTGAAAGTGCCGACGTGAAGACTTGACTACAGAGTTGACCGATGTTACTAGACAAAATTGTTTCTCAAACCGGTAATACTATAAAAATAATATGGCCTCAAAATATTGTATTGTACCTGGAAGATGTTCCCAAAGCTGTGACCAATGCCTGGATTAAGCCTCCAATAAATACCCAAGGGTTCTTACGAGTGATCAGGAAGTAGAGAAGAGGTAGGACTATGACAGCGTGAATGAGCAAACCAATGATAACTGTTACAGTATACATGGCAAGCTGGCCACCAATCACACCCATATCTTCCATCTCAACAATTTTTCCAGCAATCAAGAAGAGGATTCCAAGTGGAGCATACCTGCAAATAAGAAACCAAATGAATATTGCACTGAACAAAGCAGAAATTCTCTCCCCTGTCCCTACCTTTTGTGTTTACATGCATGCATGAATGTTTTCACTGTTAGGATGACTCTAATTATGCAGAAAGCAGTTCAGGATTTTAACTCAATAGCTCAACTTGGATTAAACCACAATAGTGAAAGTTTCTGATAGACTTTGTTGGATTCAGGATCTGGTAAGGATTCCAAGATGTATAGCAAGCTATTCAGGCATGTAAAGAGATGATCTCCCTTTGGAATTCAAGTGTCATTTAAAAGCTAGTTTAGCCACTTTAGTTATAGTTCTTTTCTTTATGAATGGAAAGCTCAACCACCATAGTTGTAGACTATGCCAAGTGCCCAATTCTATTATCCCTCCAGAGCTGTTTCCCAAGTTGTTGGCAAAGGAACCCACACAGAAGGCTGATAACTTTCAATGATTCCAAGCTGCTTCTGACCATGCCCCGTTTCATCCAGTGGGGCACTGGATAAATACTTTAGTATGAAGCCAGACGTATGATAGAGGTTAGCTGCATCGTGGAACAGCAACAAAGGTGGTACAATCTGCTTTTTCCTACCTGTAAGCACAGCTAGGAAGAGTTCCTATGAAGGAAGAGCTACTACTGAGTATAAAACTCTGACATAATTCTGCTGCAGCTGGACATTTAGTACAGCCTTATTTCTATAAATGTTTGCTTGTCTTTTAACACTAAGTTACCACAGAACTTATCCAGTACATCTCAATTGCATTGTAAGCTATTAAATCCACATAGAAATTTTTCAGAAGAAACAATTCTTATCCACTGCTTTATCATCTTAAGTATGCTTATAAAGAAGGAGAAAATATATTTTTTTAAAAAAATTATTTTCATAATAACTCCTCTACCTGACGAATAATGAATCTTCACTATTGAAAAGATTTCATACCTAATATTTAAGGGAAAAGATATTGCTTTTATTTGCCTACTGGATACAATACAGAAAGTAGGCAAATAATGTATAAGTGCAAGCAGTGCAGCTGCAATGAAAGGATATATGTATACAGTACACAATGGCAGGAATCAGTTGTATTAGAAACTAATGGTAACAAGGTCTTGCTCTGTAGAAATGAGAGTATGGGAGAAATTTGTCAGTTTCCTTTAGTGAAGTCAGGTTAGGATATAAGGAAACTTTGATAGCATACTGTTTTGATGATCTTTATGAAGATCTGTAATGACTCTGTATAAACCTAGCAAGTTCTACCACAGATCCTGATTTTTCTGGTTTCAAGAGCTAAACACACAGAAGAACGGATATGTTTGCAGAAACCATTGACACACAGAATTACAGTTCATTTATTTAAAAAGCTACAAGGTAGTTAAGATCTTCCTGTCTGACTTCCTGCCAAGCAGACTCTTGCTATCCAGTGCCTGACTGTGATGAGAAATTATTGTTAGCAACTTAAAATGGAATTTGTCAAAGAGGCACTTACCACATGATTAGCGCTACTAATCTCATGATAGCCTCATTAAGGCTATCAAAGAAGTCTTTTAATGCCCGACCTTGCTCCTTCATGCTTCCAATCACCAGGCCAAAGCTTATTGAGAAAACCACCAAGCCAAGGGCATTCACTCCATTTACAGAACCTGGAACAGGAACTAGTTCCTCTTTCATTCGGGTGAGGGTTTCCATTGCTTCTGACACATTGCTTATTATGGAAGCCACTGTGGATGTGTCATTGGATGCAATATCTACTTTAAACATTCTCTTTTCATAGTTAGTTTTGAACTGTTAAAGCAAAAATAAAAGAAAGATTGGAATTCTGTGAATTATAGCAACCAAAAGTAAAAATCACACATTAAATTATTAATAACTTTTGTGGGACATTTCAATTCTTTGTGTAATATTTGTTGTTAAAAGGTACTGTCATGAAAACCTGGCATTCC